ATTGACTACAATGTGGTATAAATACCTTCAGAACTGTCCATGATACAAAACAGAAATAAATTTGTTTTAAGTTCCACACTTACACCTGTCTCCTCTTTGACTTCTCTTACTGCTCCGGCAAATATATCTTCACCCTGAAGTATGAAAGTACTTTGAGGAGTGATAGAAGTTCTATTCATAGGCTGGTAATATTCATATTCTTATAACTGAAAATATTTACTTGGTCAACTACTCCTGTAGGAAACTTCCACACACCTGAGCCACGTAATTTTCCACTTCTTTCCTGGACTGCCAACACCTACCAAGACCAGAAGTTGCAAAAATGAAACTAATATCACAATTAAATCTGAAAGTAACAACCAGCTAAGAGTTTGAGCCACGCAATATTAGTTATCACGAAAAGGAGCAAATACTGAGCTACATTTAACCATCTGTCCACATCAATCGCATTATGATATAGTTTGGAACAAAAACGCGTCCCGTATGAAATTGTGGGCTGGAGGTCAAGAATTTTTTTTATTTTTATTTTTATTTTTTTGGAGGAAAAAAGGTTAATAAACAATTTGAAACTTATATAAAGTACATAACCAGGAATTACCTCCCCTCTGTCATTCATCACGATAGCACCGACACCCACTCTGTGGGTAGCATTTACAGGTAACGTATTTTTAGTCGCAGGAATCCAGTACACAAGCATCAAGTAACTTGGCTCTGCATGGTGGTAGTAAAATCCTTCCTGTGGCAAGATTAAAATTTTGAATCAATCCAAGTTCTATGAAAAGTAGGTTAACAAGATTACATGGATAGGAAATTTTAAAGTAGGTAGCTAACTAGCTGATGGGAAGCATAAATAGCTTTATTACAGAAGTAAAGAAATGAAGACCATGTTTACTCCTAACTCACCTTTAGTCACAAGGAAAACCTTTTCCAGTACTTATTATATGTACAGCAATTCAAACAGAAATAAGAATGCAGCAACATATAAAACATGGAAGCAGATAGATGACTTACATGGAAAACCTTTTCCGGTGAAGCCTTCTTATTATATGCAGTTATGCACAATAGTTCAACTCAAACAGAAATAAGAATGCAGCAACATATAAAACATGGAAACAGATACATGACACGCAATACGGTACTGACACAAATCTACATAAATCCATAAAAGTAACATATGATGACATGGTGACACTTTATACTTTATATATTGTTAATATGCACTCCAGAGCTCTAGCACCTGAAGCATGTTACCATACATGTAGGAATAAAAAGACAAAAATTAGAACTTAAAGTCCTCTAACAATGGCGCACACATGCATGCCCCCCTACCCACCCCCCTGCAAACTCCAGGTCCACTGCAATATCCTACCTCACAAAATCCTAGAAGCCCATGCTTGAGAGGATTGGAACATGGTAATATTTAAAATTGGAACCTATTTCGTTGGGTTTTCTGATGTTATTCAAAATGGACAAAGCCCAGCATGTATTAACACAATTCTCGAATTCCTTATACTGATATAGCTCCAGACATGTCTTCTTCTCTTTTATCCTTCTTTTTCGAGAATTTGAGACGGATCTAATATGTGCTAGCCTACCAAGCAAGTGCCATTGTCCAACATATATAAAAAAGGATTATTAGTCGGCAGCATTTCTGTTTGTGCAGTAAAAGGACAGGCATTATTCTTGTGTGCATCTCTACGTGCCTGTGAATGCATCCGTGTATCTCCTTATGTGTATGGGTGTGTGGGCATGTGGAAGCTACGGCTTCCTAGCTTCCTTCTTCAAGTCAATTTGACATACAACAAAGGATATGCATTTACCTGTAGCCTACGCAGGTTGCTTCCTTCTTCAAGTCAATTTGACATACAACAAAGGATGTGCATTTACCTGTAGCCACGCAGGTTGTAACCTTATGCATTTAGTTTCCGCCACACTCGGCAGGAGAACTTTGTAAGAACATCAGTGTCCATATAATACTTTTAACGTGCCAGTTGGTGTTCCAAAAAATTAACAGTAACAATGGAGCAAAGCAGCCCCCTCTCTCCCCCAACCCGGAAAAAAAAAGACAAAGACAAAGAAAAAAAAAAACAAACAAAAAAACACACACCAAGAGGTAGCAATTTAAGGGATTCAGTTTCTCGTTACCTCAACAGCAGGTTGGACAAGATTTGAGGATTTAATTGGCAACTTTAGCCACACACCTCTTTTGCCCTGCAAACAAAAGTCATAAATTCAAAGAAGCATCTACATATGGCATTCTTGTAAACTGTATTAAATAATAGAAAATGTATTGTTAAATTTAAGTTGGTTGTTCAAATGAAAATTGCAAAGATTGTATAAGATATACTCCTAAGAAATTTTCATTCAAAGACTTCAACAATGAAAAAAATATCAAGAGTTTAAAAAGAAAGCATGAGCATCTCAGGTGAAATTTCAACAATGTAGAATTGCACCATATATATTAACGGTGCTACACCAAATAGTAATTAAGATTTGTTACATGTAGAATAAGATCTAAATTCATAGTCAAACTCATTGAGCTAAAAACGTATGATTTATTGTTGAGGTATTCTTTACAATGAATCTTTTTGAGGGGTTCAACACAATAGTGTTAAGCTTCTCACAAGGGAAATATTGGTGCAAGAAGAATTTCATACCAGTTCTCTTGAAAGTGAAACCATAAAGAGGCTTCACCATGGGTAACTGTGGTACTGATTCTTTATTTACAGGATATAACTAAGAAGCACTATTGAAATTAACGATAACGTATTACATAACACTCTACCTTCTGTTAAGAGTTAAGGGAAAAAACACAAAAAAACATAATGCATAACCTAGACTATTTTGTTTATTAATTATTTAGATTTTTCATAAATACAAACTACTCATAATAACTTTAATAATTAATATCATCAAAATTTTCAAACATGAAGGAGAATTGAAAAAGTTATAGGCTATGAAGCACGGACACGCATAACATGAAGCCGTGTCGTGTCCGTGTCGGACACACGTGTCGAACACACGTATCCTATGTATTTTTTAGGATTTGCCTCGTGTCGGCGTGTCGGATGGCCGTGTCGGATCTGTGTCCGTGCTACATAGGTTATAGGAGTAAGGATTTAGAAGGCTTCACGTTTGTCGAAAGGAGTTAGGACTTATAAGTTGGAGAGGTGTTGGAGGTGAAGATGGGGTTAGGATTTTCTTCGTCGACGAGAGCAAATATAGGGCCAAAGAGGGACTAGAAAGGAGCCTTGTCGTTGGCAAAGATAGACGATGAGAAAAGCCTTGTCGTCGGCAAGAGGCTTTGTCTTCGTTGAAGGCACGAGAGGAAGAAGAGATCAAGAGGTTTCTTCGTCAAAGGCGTGAGAGGAGATGGAGGGGGAGTAGATGAGGGAGGCACTGGAGATGGGGTCAGAGGATAAATAGGGTTTTTCATGTGAATGAAATTGGAGTTGGGGGATTCAATTGGGAATTTATTTCAGTTACCATGATACTGATTTGGATGGTGGAGATATCGTCATGCATCCAAATATGATCGCCAATTTAAATCAATTTAACGAGTGTTAAATAACGCTTAACGTTACGTGGATAAAACATATTTTTGGTGTTATTTTCTGCGTTGAATGCAACGTGGGTCTTTTGTCTGAGTTTTATAACACTTTTGCTCCCTTAGGTTTCGAAACGGGTTAAAACGGGTTTCAAAACGTGTTTTTTTCTACATTGCTAAGGAGTTAAATAGGTTATATATAAACTGTTAACTAGAATACATTATTACTGCTCAATAAAAGAATTCCATTTAGCAGTCTGAACAATGCCGTCTCTTTCTTTTACAAACAAAAACAAATGTTCTTGAGTGTTGTTAATACTCTTCCATTGTTTATCAGTTCAATTTGTAAACACAACTTCAATTATATAGCTATGAATCTCTTTTTTTCCATGATGGTATTACCAGCTAGTTCAATACTACTATATATGAGAAAATGAATTCTCCCATGAAAGTATAATATGTTTAAGAAAGCCTATTATCAAGACATACCTGCTGCCTCCAGTTCAAGATAGACGCTCTTAAAGAAGAAACGAAATCTTTGGGGTTCATGGGGTCATTTATTTCAACAATAACACCCCTATGATTGTCATCAGATGCTGTGAGCAAATCAACTTCTCCTTTACCTGTAGACTCGGGCGTCACAACTGATGAATTTTTGGAAACGCAACTGAATTTGTTGTTCAGCTGGCCTCTTCCGCTGATCTTAAAACCTGGTGGAATCAACAAAGGAAAATGTGAAACATGATAGTTCAGTTAATTCTAGAAAATCACATTCCATTGGGAGTTTCTTTGGATAATGTTTAAGTAAAATTTGCCATATTTAGATTAAAGACGTTACAGAATTGACATTGAAGCCCGCAACTAGATAGTAATGTGCCGGATCAAGATTACACGTGGGCATAATTTGCAAACTTCAAGTATCAATTATTGCTCAGAGATATTATCACTACAAAATAGTGTTTGGTGCTAAGATGAATTAAAACAAATAATACCAATGAAAAATCCTTAATTTCACTAATCAAGATACTAACTTGACTGATAATCCAACAAAAACCACCTAATTCACTAAATTTAGCTCGCACTCTCCTCCAAACGATCATTAATCACTTCAGCATCTTATCAATAAATTCTTGAAGTTGAAAATATCAGCGTAATAATCCTAAACCCAAAACTCGAAGATTAAAATGCGAATCGAACCTCCCTATATCATCAAGTTACTAAATTTTACAAAAGTTTAGCATCTAAAACACGTTTTACCTCTCGGATTGCCAACAGCAGAGCGAATGGATTCGCTTCGGATCCTGGACCAAGATCCGATAAGATTTCGATTCAGACAGAGGCAGAGACTTGCGTTCCCAAATCGGAGCATCATAGCTCGGCATCCGATCATCGAGGCGTTCAATATAGAGGTTGCTGGAAACCCTAACCCTAATTAAGCAACTTAGATCTTCAGTGGTTCTGAATTTTTTTGATCCAAGGTGAAGAAATGGCGGGCGCTGCGACGCCCCAATTATGAATCGCGTTTTTTTAAAAATTTATTTATTATATGTCGATTATGAATCGCGTTGGAAGCAACAAGACCACACTATCAGATTTCCAAATGCAAATGCTCCGTTTCCAGTACCCTAATCCTTTTTTTACATAATAGTCCCTTTACGACTTAAATTTTTAATTTTTAATACACCCCAAATCATTTAAATTGCTATTCAGTCCCTCAAATCCGATTTTCTATATCAAACTAGTACGGTTTGATTTGGAACTGTTTTACTTAATTCTTTATTAGAATTGAACTTTGCATACTCTATTTAGGACCACAAATGCAACATTACGAAAAATGTTATATTTTCATGGAATGAATTACGCGTCAACCCTTTTTTAGTTCGTTTGAGTCATGCATCGACTTAAAAGCATATATCTTAAAATTTCAACAGTAACAAAATAGCATTAAAACATAATCTATTTAAACATTATCCTTGTGTAAATATCTCAAAAAGAGGGGTACTATTAGGGGTGCATATAGTCCTGATATAGCTTAGATATGATACTCATTATATCCGTATCCGCTCATTAATCACGGATATGGATATGAATATACCTCTGTAAGAAAATTTCATACTAATATTCGCCAAGATCAGATATGAATATAATTATGTATGCAGATATATAGGACGATATACATGTTTGATATAAAACGGTTATGGGAAAACTAGATAATTTTAAAAAACTTAATAGGTCATATGATGCAACAGAGTTCACTAACGTGTTTGTTATATTTGAAAAGTTAAGATTACATATCTTGATCATCAAAATTAACCTCAAACCTAAGAATTAAAACTGTTGCAATAGTATGACTATATATATATATATATATATATATATATATTATATTATATATTATAATATATATAATATCATATATATTACATTAAGTTAATATGTGTAGGGCTTGGTACTGAAAGGCAGCAGAAATTTGTGCTTGGATAAGTGAAGGGCGTGACCATATATCGCTCTCTACTCAATTCAACATGGGGGGGAGCACGTTCAGGCAGATGGGTATTGGGGAGTTTGAATATGTGGATGAGGCAATGAGATACCTCAGCCTATCCAAGCACGAAAATTTGTGTTTGGTCACGTCAAGCCATTCATATATATATCATCATCATATATATATACATATATATCATCATATCATATATATAATATATATATATATATATATATATATATATCATTTTCTCTGCTCTCCTCTGCTAACGCCCGCCCCCGCCCCCCGAATATCCGTTTACGTCTATCATCCCAAGTTGCTGCATACCCTATCATTCATAATTATATTCTATAAATTATAAATTTTTATAGTTATATCTGTATCCCATATCAATACGAATATTTTCTTGGGCATATTTATTTTTACCCCTAGGTACTATGCAATCTGACAAGCACGTGTTACTTATCCAGTCAACACTCACAATTAGGAACAAGTCAAGATTTTTTACTCCTCTTCGAAGACTCCATGTTGGTCCCACTAAAAAAAACAAATCGAATCCCTTCACATGCCAATTACTTAATCTGATCTTACCCCTACTCGACCGTTAGAAAATCCTACTTTTCAAAAAAATTCCCCACCCGCGCCTATTCCTACCGTTAACAAAACTACAACCTTAAATCTCTCACTACAAACAAAAAAGCCTAAAAAACTTACTCTCTCAAATTCGCTAGTGCTTTCCTTGATATTGTATATTAGAATCCTGCACTACCACTCAATCGCGAATAGACCCTTTACTATTCTATTGTTGCAGATAGACCCCCAAGTGAATTTTTTTTAAATATTTTATCATCTAAGAAAAATAAATTTATATTTTAACAAATATACCTCCAAAGATATAAGAGTGGACAAATTTTGAAAACAGACTCCTTTGCAAAAATATTCTTAAAAAAAGACCCGTTTTTACTTTATTTTCAAAAAACGACCTAGTTTCAGCCTCAGGGCTGAAACTGGGTCGGTTTTTGGGAAAAAAGTTCTCAAACTTCACGGGAGTTGAACTCCCGTGAAGTTTTGTTATGTAAAAAACTTCACGGGAGTTCAACTCCCGTGAAGTTTGGGAATTTTTTTCGCAAACAACGACTCAGTTTCAGCCTCAGGTCTGAAACTAGGTTGTTTTTTGCGAATATTTTCAAAACGGGTATTTTTTTGGGAATATTTTTGCAAATGGGTCTGTTTTCAAAATTTGCCCTTATCAAAATAATCAAGTTAAAGAAGTCCATCCACAATTGGACTATTGTACACGAGGTCTATCTCAGAGGTTCTATCCGCATTGGAGCGAGAGTATACAGGGGCTTAATCCGCAACTAACCCATACTATTATTTTCTTTTCAATTTCAGATTCTCGTTATACCTATAGATCGAGGACCCTCTACAGAATCATTTTCTTTTCATTTCACTACCATCATTAAAACCCCCACAACCCTTTCAAATCTCTGCTCTCCCTCTCAATTCTCAATGGCAACATCTCCCTCAAGAACTCTCTTCCTCCTCCTCATCTTCACCCTCCTCCTATCCTCATCTTCATCCATCTCCACCACCACCACAGGCTTCTCCTACCAATCTTTCTCCCTCCGCAACCTCACCCTCCTCGGCGACGCCTTCCTCCAAACCACCACCACCTCCGTCTCCA